TTTTTTTTCCTTTTTTTTTTTTTTTTTGCTGAATTGCTGATTTTCCTTTTTCAATAGAATTTAATTCTGGAGTGTGAGCAGGAACCAGTTAACTACATTCATTGTCCAACCCCCACTGGTTTGAAAGAAGACTCCAAATTCTTGGTATATGAATCAGCTGTTCGGTAGCTCCACCTTGTCCCTGCAGCGAAGCAGCAGAAACGCAGTGGCAGCGTGCTCAGGGTTCACACTGTGGGTGGTGAGGCCTTTCGCTGAAGGAGGTACTGGTGGATGCTCTCAGCATCTCGCTTGAGCCAAGCAGCATTCAGCAGGATATTTTCGCAACACTGCTGGACGGTACGCTCAGCTGAAGGAGCTGGGTGACTCTCGAAGAAAGCCTGGTATAAAACAACCCAGAATGTAGGATCATTACCAGCAGTAGTAAGAAGTTTGTACCACAGGTCATGAAAAAAAACACCTGCTGGTCTGTGAAGGATTCACAAGCTTCACTCATGACACTGCCACACCCAGGCTAAAAGAAAACAAACAGCTTCTTGGACCCACCTATAGGAATTCTCCCCTGAGTATAATATGCTTAAAACCTAATCAAAAGTTAATTGTAAAGAGACAGAACCTACCACCTTTCTTTAGATTCACTAGGCTTTGGAATCAGGCTTGACACTTGAATCTAGGCTTGATTATGTACTAATTTATGACCTTGAGTAAATTAACTGCTCTAAGTCTGTCTTCTCATCTATAAGAAAATATTTACTCCAGAAGATTAAAGAGACAACCCATATAAACAGCATAATACTTGGCAGAGTGCTTAAGGACTCAACACATTTTGGCTGCTTCAAATAAAGATTTGTAAGGGATGATAAAACCAAGCAGTTTAAATTGCTGCTATACCCTAATAATTTAATACTCCATTGACTCACGGTTTTCATGTAATAAACCTATTTTTGATTTTATTATAATTTATTATAATGCTTAATGATTCAAGATTGAATTAATTTTCTAAGGAAGTCTACCTGGTTTCACAGGTAGACTTTTAAATACCAACCTGCAAAAGGTAGGGTCTTTCCTTTGAACTAGTGATCACTAAAAAAGAGAATGACTAATTCATCAGATTAAATCTAGACCTTTTAGAAGTCAATAACCTTATTTACACAGATGACGGGATCCTGCGCCAAGGCTCCACATCAAGGTTGGATTCTTAGGGCCTGAGTAAGATGAAAGACTTCCTCCTGTTACAGCACTACCATTTGCACAAGAGAAACCTGGGAATTATCCTTGACTTTTTCTCCCGGTCCCCAGATATGCTCACAATACAGAGAAACTACTCAGTAAATATTTGCTGAATTAAAGATGAACAAAATCAGGCCCTCGACTCTCTTTCATCACTTCACCTCCTCCAAGCTACTATATCATTCTTGCTTGGAGGGTTAGCTTCCTAACAGCTTCTCTTCCCCCACTCAAACTATTCTCTACACTGCAGCCAGGCCGAAATTTTTATAATACAAATCAGATCAAGTCACTCCTTTGTTTATAAGCCATTCAAGCACTTTCCGCTTTTAGGAAATTTTTTAAAAATATGTTTTTATTGATTTTAGAGAGAGAGGAAGGGAGAGGGAGAAACAGAAACATCTATGAGAAAATATCAACATCGATTGGCTGCCACCTGCATGCCCCCTACTGGGGACTGAGTCCGAAACCTGGGCCCGGGCCTCGAATGGGAACTGAACCAGCAACCCCTTGGTTGGTGCAAGGGTCAATGCTCAACCACTGAGTAACACCAGCTGGGCAATTCTTAGGAAAATTTTAACATGGCCTATAAGGTCCTCCACAGTCTAGCCTCTACCTATCTTAGCAGCCTTAAATTGGCCGCTGCCCTTCCCGGCCAAACCCATTATATGTATTTCTCCTTCAGAGTACTTATCTTTACAATAAATGGTTTACATAAAACAATGCACAATACTAAATGAATGCAGAGATCAAGTCTTGCACTGTTTTCTCAATATCTGAACTCTTAAAATCTTATTTCTAACAATGGCTCACAGAGTGAAACAAACATTAGAACTCTCAGAACTTCCAAATCCACACGTGATAACCCCCTTGCCTTCAAAATGATGAAGGTGAAAGTGACACTTTAAAAATACTTCACAATTAAAAGCAATGGAAGGATTAAAGGTAACATTTTCCTAATCAGTATAGATTTCTCCCCTAAATGCTGAACTTTACAACTATACTGATGATCAACCTTTTAAAGGTTAAGAGGGGAGTTCCTACATAGTCACCTACACAGTTGATCAGAAAGAGAAAAGAGCTACTAACATCAAGGACCTACTCTGTTCCAGCTCCACTATGTTCCTTAATCTAAATAACAACTTATCATTACCCCATTTCACAGATGAGACAGGCTCATAGGGGTTAAAAAACTTGCTTGAAGTCGAATAGCTAACACAGAGCTAAGTAGAGCTTTACACCCAGGTCAAGTGCTTCCAAGTTCCACATTTGTTTAACCATATTTCAACTCCCTCAAAGATGATTCCAACACTAAATTCTTCAGGCATTAAGGAACCAACCTAAGCTGTCTTTTTCTAAGCAATAAAAGGAGACACTAACATACATCACCCCTACATGCTATGATTATAGTTTGGTTAGTGTTTTTATTTACTAGATAGAAAAGTGAAAAGTTAACAGTATTTTCCTTACCTTAACCTCTCCAGCCATTTTATCAACTGCAAATCCCTCAACTGATAGCTGCAAAAAAAACAACACCCAATGGTTTAAATAGTAAGTGCAACTAAAAGAGGCTTGGAACAAACTTCATTCACCCTAAAAGCAAACCATTCTATTCTCTCCCAACTTCAATTTATTTTAGAGGGTGCAGGATGGGTGACAGAGAAGCCCTTTAACAAGGCTAATAACTAGGAAAACTCTTAAAGAGCAAAGACCATAATCTACGGGTCTAGTGAATCATGGATGTCTCTCAATAACACCCATGATAAGCATGCTACACAAAATAAAAATCTTCACATACCTTTATTAGTCTGGATATTAAGAATCCTCCCTGGTATCGATTATAAAGTTCTTCCCAGTTGTCCTTTATAAATTTCCAAGCAGCCTTCCTTCCATGCTTGCTGCCTCCAGCCACTCCACCAATTACTGATACAGTGTCCTGTGGACGTACCTCTTCCTAAAAATAGAAAGAGAATTAAAAGTCTACTGTACCCAAAACATCTTCTGGTACCAGAAAGGGCAAATGTTGTTGAGGTACTCAAGTAATTGCTTGAAGATACTTTTCCCTGTTTTAGGAATTAATTGGCACCAGAAGCTTCCAACAAAGAGGATATTTAACCTAAAGATCAGCCAAACTGATAATAAGGCATTGAGACAGGTATAAACAGATTGCTCAACAGATACTTGCTTGGGCTTCTACAGAGTAAAAAAGGGAAGAGACAGAAAGTAGGCACAGGGATAAATCAACTTTCCAGTTTATTTCCTCTCCCAATTATTTTGATTCTCAGCACTAAAGGGAGATATAGAGGTCAGTAACAAAAGCTCATTCTAGTTTTCCTAGACTAAGGAAGCCTTACTCTATGGTTAAGGCCAATCAAGAAGACACTGAACCAGTCAAAGACACTTGCCACAGATCACTGGGTAACAATTCCCTCTAAAAGCAGTTTTCATTGCAACTTACTGAAAGTGCAAACGTGAGGACTTTTTGAATCAATTCAGGTGAAAGAGTAGCCCCAAGGACTCTTTCAATTCGGTTTTTCTCTTCCTGCATATCTGCTTGCTTGTGAAGCTATAGTGAAAAAATAAAGATAGAGATAGTTAACTCTCCCCTGGAAGTTATGCATTGCTTACATGAACTTCTTCCCCAATATGGTGAAACTTTTGCTCTACATTCTCATTGGCTAAGATTGCAGGGTATGAAATTAACAAAATAATACTTTTCAAGATGTTTGGTACTAAATTTCTCATATGCCATTTTTGTAAGTCACTATATATAAGCGCTCACTATATGAATGGCTTCTCCTCAGTTCTGAGCAGTTTACTTCAAGATCCAAGGGATAAACACTTCATGGCCAAATTCTTTACACCACTGATGTCTGACTAATGTTCTATGTTACATGAACAAACTAATCACTACTAATACCACTGATGATCATCAATTTAATTTAGAGCAGTAAAAAATGTATAAGATGTATTATCGAATATAACGTTTTAAGAATGTTTGGTCACATAAACATGTTCTTGATATATTAAGTGAAAAAATGAGAGAGACAAAGCAAAATTATTTAAAATTTTTAAAGTTTAATGTGAAGGGGAAAAAACCCTGAAAACATATCAAAATGTTAACATTAATTAATAGTTTCTGTTTAGTGGGATTATGCATCATTACATTTTTAAACTGCAAGAAGCAGCACATGTTGAATACAGAACATTAGGAAAATAGAGAAGTATAAAAAAAAAAAAAATCAAAATACTACTATACGCACATTACCAAATCAGGAATAAGATCATATTATAAGTGCTATTTTTGTGACCTGATATTTTAAAATTACAGGTAGGTTTTATTTTTTTCTTTCTACCTTTATAGTGTTTAAATCTTTCACAGTTAATATACAAAATATTTTTTCATAATCAGAAACAAAATATGTATTTTTAAAAATTAGAACTACAAATGTATCTGAGATACCTCTCCCAGACAACTTAATTTATAGACTCTCTTGACCATTTTTCCCCCTAAAAATTTAACACTGACCAGTGTCTGGAGACCCCATCACAGCTCCCAGTTTCCTCTTCCTTTCCTTTGGACTCTTTTGAGCAGCAGTGTGGTAAAATAGATAGGAAGTCAGGAGACCTGGGTTCTAGTCCCAGTTTGCCTCTAACTAGCTGTGTGATCTTGACTAAGTCCTTAACCTCTCCGGGTCTCAGTTTCCCCATCTGTAAAATGAGCGGGGTGGACAGATGATTTCTAAGGTCCTTTTCAGCTCTAGTACTCAAGGTCTGAACTCAGGCTTTCAAGGAGAGCCTGTTACATTAGTCCACTAGATGGCACCATAACACCCTATTTCAAATATACTTTGAGTTAAAGTCATTTTTATCTTGCTTCATTATATTCTTAAATTACCAACAAAAACCAATCCTCCTCATCTCTCATCAACTGTTTTTTGTTTGTTTTTTAAAGAACTTTGACTCTGGGCCTTGGCAGGGTAGCTCAGTTGGTAAGAGTGTCCCAATAAGCCAAGGTTGAAGATTTGATTCCCAGTCAGGGCACTAAGAAGCAACCAATGAATGCATAAATAAGTGGAACAACAAATCAATGTGTGTGTTTTTCTCTCTCTCCCCCTTCCTCTCTGAAATCAATCAATAAATAAAAAACACACCCAATCCTGCCTTCATGAGAGCTGAATTACTGAGTTCTCGTGTGTTAAACAGATGCAAATTCTTATTAAATATATATACTAGTATATATTCTTAAAAGTATGCCATGACATGAAAATGTAAAGGAATCTGTCATGAAATCTTCAGAACCCCTATTTTGTCGCATACCTTTTATGGAATAGACAAAAACCACAAAACATTTCATTTTGTATGCAAAGAAATATATTGATTTATAGTGCACAGGTTCACAGATTATTAAGAATGTGAAGGGACCTTAATGTCATTTAGTTGAAAGGTAAACCCAAAGTATAATTATATATTATTAGGAAGGAAACCCTTGAACAAGATGGGTAAAGGAGTGTATTTTGAGATGCAGTTTCTTAAACAAGGTTTATATTTTTCAGAACATTCTACTCATTTAAATAGAATTTGCTTAAAACTAAAATACTGGAAATTAGTTTTGCAATTTAATCTACTTGGGATCAGGAAGTATTCTTAATATATTATAAATGGAAGTATTAAATCACATCCCACTCCTATCCTGTTCATTCCCCCAAGTGTGGATCTTACAATGAATGAGCTTTATAGGTCTGATAGATGATTTGAGCACATTTTATTTCATGGTAATAAGTAGACTCCCTCCACCTCTAATGCAACCAAAATAGTCAAGTTATTTCTTAGATTGACAACTGCATGGACAGGGACTAGAGGGTACCACTTGTTCCACAGTATTAGGACTTTCAAACAGGTCACAGCCATTATTAGGACATGGAAAGTTTTGCTTATATTTTTTCTAAGCCAGAGTTTAATTATATGCCAACCACCCTGGGGAAACCAGAGGCTATGCAGTCAGGTGAATTAATTTCCTGTCCATTCATAAGAGGCACTGGCATAGTTCAAACCCTTGAAATACCTGATTATCTATTCCTTTTCTAAGCACAGAAACAAACCTTTTGTTTAAAATGGGCAGAACCCCAAATAAGTTTACATTGAAGGGGAAAATTTTAAGAGCCTAACTTGTTAATCAAAATAAATGAACATTTCAGTGTTAAGTTTCAAGATACATAAACTTGTGAGTAAAAAGAAGTAAAAAAATTAGATTACTTTTTCTATCATATTGGTAGTATACATAAACAGACAATATATTTCTCCCATAGTTTCTTAATATTTGGTGTCCGCAATTATGCATACCTGCTTATAGTTCTTTTACCACGATGTTTTTTTTAAACCACATAGAGCCCTTTTCAAATTTACTCACCTTTATCATAACGTCTAAAGTAGTGCCATCACCATGCTTCAAAACAGTCAGATAGACCTATAAGAGAATATAGGAACAAGAAAGAAGGCACCTGGTGAAATGTACCTTGTTCTAAATATTCTAAAGTTAAGAAAAGACAGAAAGTAAAAAAAAAAAAATTGTAAATAGCCATGTGTGGATGCTATATACAAATTGTGGCAAGGAGCTAAGAGCCCACATAAACCAGAGAGATGGCATATAGTAAGTAAGAACAGAGCACAACAGCTTTCTCAGGGGAAGGTGTGCTGATAACCACCTTTTAGCACCACAGTGCAGACCAAGAAACTAAACAAATGAGAAGCTGGCTACAAACCACCTAAATAGAACATATTTAAAATAGGGTCACACACGATTTGTGGGTCAGTACTTAGGTAATTTTTAATTACTCTTAAATATGTTTCACACTACACAGAATGTTGCAGTCACCAAGAAATTAAGGTAATTCATTATAAAAACCTACAGGACTCCTCAGATCAGCGGAGAGAATCTGTTTCCCTTCCACATGGTCCTTAAACCGACGACGGGCTTCTTCTAACGTTGCCTTATGTCCTGCTTTTCCTAGTTTGCCCAGGACCAAGCCCCTTAGGAGTGCATCTAGATGACCTGATTGAGAAGTAAAAGAGACACAGAACTATTTAAAAGCCTATTTTTACAAATATGTCACCTAAATATCTTATAATTGTATTATATCATGCCTACAATCTTGAACAAACAGAATCAATTACCTTAGTACTTGAAAGAACATTTGATTTAAACCTATAAAATCATGAGAGTGAAATGAAGTGCTAAACAGACAAGGTAAGCAAATAAATTGCTGATTTTGTCTAGTATATTCACAAATGCCAACTATCTAAATTTACTAAATGTTCACTCCATCTAAGTAATCACACAGCTAAGGATTATGTGTGAAAGAACAGGCTTAGATCATGCAATTTTAACCCAAGATTCAGGGAAAGGCCACATACAGAACAAGTATACTATATACAAGAAAATGAAAATTTAGATTTTTAAAATCAAAATTTGACAGATCTATTTCTCCAAAGATATGCAAATGGCCAATAAGCACATAAAAAATGCTCAGCATCATTGGTCATTAGGGAAATGCAAATCAAAACCACAATGAGGTACCACTTAACAACCAATAGGACGGCTAGAATAAAAAAGACAGATAATAACAAATGTTGACAAGGATATGGAGAAATTGGAACCCTCATACATTGCTGGTGGGAATGTAAAATGGTGTGGCCACTATGAAAAACAGTCTGGCAATTCCTCAAAAGGTTAAACATAGAGTTACCATATGACCTAGCAATTCCACACTTAAGAATATACCCAAGAGAAATGAAAGCATATGTCCACCCAAAAACTTGTATACAAATGTTTATAGCAGCATTCGTAATAGTACAAAAGTGGAAACAATCCAAACTTCTATCAACTGATGAATAGACAGACAAAATGTGGTGCTGTATATCCATACAATGAAGTTATTATTTCAGCTATAAAAAGGAATGAAGTGATACATGAAGCATGGATGAACCTTGAAAGTAGCTAAGTGAAAGAAGCTAGACACAAAAGGCCACAAAGGTTATGATTCCATTTATGTGAAATGTCCTAAACAGGCAAATCCATGAGATAGCACATTAGTGGTTGCCTGAGACTGGGGTTACCAGAGAATGGGGAATGACTGCCAATGGGGATGGAGTTTCTTATGAGAGTAAAGAAATTGCTCTGGAATTAGATGGTGGTAATGGTTGTGCAATCTTGTGAACATACTAAAAACCACTGAATTGTATACTTTAAAGGGTGCATTTTATGGCATATTGGTTATGTCTCCAATAAAAAATTAACACTAACATACAAATCTGATGAATTTGCAACAGCACAGTGGCCAAATAAGTTGTGGTATATTCATACAATGAAATACTACTCAGCAATAAAAAGGAATGAACCTGGATCATACTGAGTGACAAGAATATCATACTGAGTGACAGAAGCCAGATATAAGAACAGTATATAATGATTCCATTTATATAAAGTTCTAGAAGAGAAAATATTAATCTAGAATAAAAGAAGTCAGAATAGTGTTTGCCACCCAAAACAAGACTGGTCAGGAGGAAATACCGCCTTTAGTTATTAGCAGATGGTAGAAAATAGTTATATTTAAAGCCCTAAAGTCACCATTCTCAACGTTCTCTCACAGAGAACACACGTAGAAGGCTAAATAACTCCTAATTCAGAAAACTGGCACCTGCCTTTACAAGGTACCTGGTATTTATGGTAATAATAAAATAATCCAAAATTCCCTATAGCTTTTCTTGACTATACATGGGCCTTTGGAACTCGTAAAAGACACTTATTTCCACCATTTGCTTATGCACAAATCATATTTATCAATGAATACACATAATATAACTACCACTGTTTTTATGTTGGTGATCCATGTAACTTCACAAGAGACTTAAAAGACCTAAGTCTTAATTTCTGGCTAGCTGAATACATAGTAACATCTAGCAGATACCAAGATGATGTTACTGTCATTGTTAACCACAGATAAGTAAAAAAGGACCAATTTCTGATAAATTCTTTCCCCATTTGGTACATCCATTACCTTCTCCAGGTTTGGGGTCCCAGCCCAGTCTCTCCCCTATAGGTGAAAAGACATCTTTCACAAACTCCTGGATTTCCTCATAGAAGTCTGTGTGGGACAAGAGAGTTGAGAGAATCCCCAGGTTACAGCTCAGGTCGCTCCATACAGTATAATTGGGCTCATTCACAAAAGCCTCCATGACTTTTAGAACCTCTACAGTGCTAATGATTCCAGCTCGAGCCTGGGATAGGAAAAAACATAAATTAACCTAGTCTTCAAACAAAAACAAAACAAAAAACACAAGCATGCATTTTTGGCATTATCTGCTGCTAGTTAGTTATCTCTTCGGTTTAAAGAAAATGAGACTACATAAGTTCGGAACACTAGACTTTTATAAAATAAAAATCCTATATGACGACATTTCTTATTTACTTTTTTCCCTTCTATTTATAAAAGAACCATTTTAAAATATGCTAAAATTCCACCAATTTGGAAAGAATAAGAAAGAAAGAAAATAGTTAACTTCCTATTTCTATTCCATTTCAGGGGTCTTGACTTTGTTTTTCTTTTGAAATTTTTCATACTTTTAGAAAACTTGCAAAAATAGTGGGGCTCTGGTTTTTGACAGAGGCTCTTTCAAAACTGAACCTGCAAACTGTGTCAACTTTAGCTTGTCCTTTACTCATTTCTAAAAGAACACATACTGGAAGGCACTACAAATTCAGAGTCCTTTCAGAATTAGCTAAGAGAGTTAGGAAAAAGAACTTCTGTTACAGCAGCCAACTGCACAAACACACCACTCTCCTGGGACAGGTCTCTCTCAGCAATGAGATCAGCAGATGTGAGGTTTTGTGCATCAATGCTAATCTGTGTTTATACAAAGGAGGAATCCAAAACCAGTTACTGCAGAGGGGAGGGAAAACTTCAAGTCCAATTTAAAGGAATACTAGGAGGAATCTGACAATTTTATCACAAAGACATCTAGAAATCATCTAACCTATGCTGGAGTCATAAACATAACACTACGAATTGCTGCTTTAAATCTTTTCTGGAACAAAGCCAGATATAAATATAACTCTAAAGCTAATGGGCTACTATATTGAGTAGTAACAAAATGTGAAAAAATTCTAGACTTTCCAGCAAAGTACAACCACTACTTTAGAAAAATATAAATCACTCTGAATCAATTAAATATTTTTAAAAAGTCACGTCACCAAGTAAATTTTTTCAAGGCTCTTATCTATTTCTATTGAAAATAATTTCTGCTTTACAAAGGATAGTTTAAGTACAGTTGTAAAAAGCTGGTTTAGGAGTAATGAAATGGGATTTGTTTCTGATAAATTACATAGGCTCAATTTTGTCATGTTAGTTAATAATTAGTCATTTGCTCTAATCCCAAAGACATTTGACCTTCAAGAACTATATTCTTCTAATTATGTGTCAGTTAAACACTCCAGGAAAAACAAAATCCTTTAATAACAAAATCCATCATACTACTTGAGAGAGGCTCACCAAGGAGAAGAGGTCATTCTGTAATCCAAGTCGATCCACAGGGGGCAGAGAAAGGTCACGAATGCCTGGTAATAAACTTTCCAGCATGGCTGAGCTGTACTGGGTCCGATAAAACCCAACTGTTCCCAGATTTAACTGAAAAGATATCCAGTAGGTATTATTAAACAGCTGCATCTATTTTTTTAAGTCAGTTTTTTGTAGGTGTGAAAAAGCTCTGGTTTTAGTATATCTGGATGAAAAACAAGATCATATATGCCAACAGACAGGGATTAAAATAAACATCACATAAAGATAGAAATCAGTTTTCAAAGATGAACAGAGGCAAAAGAAAACAGACACTTGACATGGTAGGGGCCAAAGTGAGGGACAGCAGGAAGAACACGGAGGGAAGAAATGATATGGATAAGTTTCTATTCCTAAACTCAGTCGATAGTTTTAAGTTTACAGAAAATATTTACTATATGTAAAAACAGTCGGACAGTGGAATCTCTAAGGAAGACTAAGCCTTTACAAACATTGATCTATTGAGCCCAGAGTGCCAAGAGAATAATAACTGTCAGGTCCTAGATTTTAAAGAATTGCATGGACTTAAAAAACAGTTCACATGATTTTTGAAGTCAGGTTATCACTGACTGTCATTCTCTGCAGGCTATTTGCCAACAACCAAAAATACTATTTGGTAGTATTTACACACCATATATATATACATATATATATACATATATATACATATATATACATATATATACATACATATATATATATATATATATATTAATATATCTTTATTGATTTCAGAGAGAGGGAGAGAGTTGAAACATCAATGATGAGAGAGTCATTACTGATTGGCTGCCTCCTGCATGTCCCCTACTGGGGATCGAGCCCAGAACCTGGACATGTGCCCTGACAGGGAATTGAACCGAGATCTCCTGGATGCTAGGTCGACACTCAACCACTGACCCACGCCAGCCGGGCACAAAATATTTTAATGGTAAAATAAGAGTATAAGATACAAATATTTTGGTATTTACATATAAATAGTAAAAAATCACCTCACAATTTTAATACAACTATTATTTTGATTACCTTTACCTTTTATTGTAGAAATAACACTGTTATTTACCTAATTTCAATCATAGTGTATATAACATTTTTCTCACTTATAAGCAAAGTTCATATTGCTATTTAATCTTCCAGATTATAATTTTGAATGGAATATAGTATTCCATGAGTATAAAAATTAAAACAGAGGGAGAAATGGCTCCTTTCAGAAAGCACAAAAGTCCAGTCAATGTGTAATTCCTATCAGGAAGCTACAATTGGGAGAAAAATTTATAGTACTTTCATTATGAAAAGTACAGAGTATAGAATAATGAAAAATAATATTTACCAACTGTTATTTTTGTGAAATGGTTTTAAAACACCAGCCAAAGGAATTTCACATTTCAGTGACACAAACTGATTATTATTATACTGATCTCACCTGATTATAGTTGTACCCATAGGATGACAACACATCATTGAGGTTAACATGTCATTACAATGACAGGACAGACTGAAGTTGCGAGACTACAAATGTTTTGGTTAATGTGACTTTATACACAGTCTACCTTTCCCCCCCTCTCTCTTTAATGCTATCCTTTTGAATCTGCTTATCTACCACTCTCTTATCTGACATAAAGGCAAATATCTAGACAGTCTTATTTGAAAACTGGCCCTAAATTTCACACAGGAAAGTTTAGAAATATTTTTTTCTTTGCAAGTCTTAGTCTAAACTGAAGCAGTAGAATTTAGAACCAGCCATAAAATGCATAAAAGTAAGAGAAATCAATCAATTCAATTTAGATAAGATAAAAACGGCCATGCCACTTCTGGACTCACCTTTACCCATTGGTCTGGTTTGACATTCTTCAAAACCACATTCATCTCTGGCTTGTCCATTAGAATTTTCAGTTTGGCATGGCTGGGATCTTCACTAGTAGAGATTGTGATAGGAACCATCCACTGGGGACAGTCTTCTCCTTAAGCAAGAGAAAAACAAATAGAAAACTTGAAAAATAATTTCTCATTGTAAAAAATAGAAGGTAAAGTGGAAAGAGAACACTGATATCCTATGCACAGCCTTGAGTCTAACTACTAAGCCAATAGCTCATTTTTAATGTTACAAAAACTCTTTCAGGTGACCTGAATAATATCGGTGTGAAGGAAAAGAGAATTTATTAACAAAATCTCAACAGGCTAAAAAAAACCTTACTTTCAGGATCACAAATACAGTGATTTTAACTTAATTGTTGTTTCCCCTTTACAGAGCAATAAAGACAATCAATGAGTTTATTGTCTTAAAGAAATTTCAAGTGTGTAAAAGCCCTCACATAGCATTTAAAAACAAATACCAAGGTGCAGTCTTTAACAGGTGTATATATATATTACTGAAACACCAGAGGGTTGGTTTTTATTTTTCTGATAGACAGGCTATACCCCGGGAGCAACTGGATTCCATCATGAACACATCACATCTAAAAGCCAAAGCTGCCTGGCCAGGCGTGGCTCAGCGGTTGAGCATCAACCGAGGACCCAGGAGATCTCGGTTCGATTCCCGGTCAGGGTACATGCCCAGGTTCCCTAGTTGGAAGCGTGCAGGAGGCAGCTGATCAATTACGACTCTCTCATCATTACTGTTTCTATCTCTCTCCTTCCCTCTCTCTGAAATCAATAAAGATATATTTTAAAAATAATAATAAAAAAAATAAAAGCCGAAGCTTTTGTAAGACAGATACATATACTCTTAGGTATCAGACAGCAAAACTGGCTTTGCATTAAGATGTCAAACAAGAGTCACTGCCCACGAGTATATTAAAGGAAATATTTTAATAAGTTATATAGCTTTATGCTATTAGGCTAAACCACAAATTAAAATTTCCTCTTGACACTGGGATGTTTCAGATTTTAACACTGCCTGTATTGGTCACAGGGTATTAGAAAAACCTGCAAAACCTGTCAGTCCTACAATGAAAATTGCAGGTGTGAGGGAGAAAATGGCAACTGTGACACTTAGGGATTTATTTGGATAATATACTTGTCCTCTGACTTGCCAAACATATTTATTAAAAGAGTAATTTTAAATGCTAAAGAAAGTTAAGGGTAGAAGGATGTACCTTTTAATCTTAGTAGAGTGCATCATATTTTGGTGGGTGGAACATGAAAAGGCACTGATGATTCTGATATACATCTCCCCCCTGCTGAAACCTCCTACTTTAAAGGAAGTCTAAAAGGTGTAGAAAAACACTTTATTTTTTGATTTTTCAATTAATCTTTAATTTCCTGGGTAAAAGAGTCTAATGACATGTAGGAATATTGAAAAAAGCATAGATGAGTGGTAAGTAAGGGTATAAATTTATGGAATCCAATTATTTTGTTTGAATTCCTACTATTTGACATTGGGCAATTTAACTAACCTACCTATGCCTCAACTCATTTGTAAAATGGAAATAATTTTACCTACCTAATGGTGTTGCTGAGTATAAAATAAGAGTGAGTTATAGAGCTAGCACTATAAATACATCTAAATAATCATTGGGTCTTATTTATTGACTTACTTATTATGCCCAAGAATTTAAAAAATAATTAGCCACATACACAAATGTGTATCAAGTTTTCTTTTAGGGATTAAGGCTAGAGGCATCACTTCTTGGGTTCCTATCCTTCTTCATACACAGAGACATGGAATATAAAAAAATCTAAGAACATGACGACATTCCATATACTTCATAAATCTTTCTTTTCTTTTTCTAACTTTTTAAAAATTGATTTTAGAGAGAAAAAAGAGAGACTTCCATTAGTTGATCCACTTATTATTTTTAATCCTTACCCGAGGATATTTTTTCCATTGCTTTTCCGAAAGAGAGGAAAGGAGAGAAAGAGAAAGAAAGCGTGAGCGAGAGAGACACATCAATTGGTTGCCCCCCACACGCGCCTGGACAGGGGCCGGGGATAGAACCTGCAACCGAGGTACACGCCCTTGGCCAGAATCAACCCTGGGACCCTTCAGTCCACGGGCTGATGCTCTAACTACTGAGCCAAACCAGGTAAGGTTGTTCCACTTATTTACGGATTCACTGGTTGATTCCTGCACATGGCCTGATCGAGGATCAAACCCACAACCTTGGTGTATCCAAGGTTCCAACCAACTGAGCTACCCGGCCAGGGCATGAATCTCCTTTCTTGATTTTCTGGATTTCATTTTTATTCCATTACCATTTCCTTGGTTCTATTTAATTCTATTAAAAAATGGATAATTATTTCCTATTATTTGAAACACTACTGGTATGGTATCCAAACTCATTGATCAACTGCCACTTATAGCCATTTGCTTACCAACATATGGTCCACTGGCACAGAACTTCCTTTGGGACAACTTCAGTAATCTGTCATCTTCTACCTAAAGAAGCAAAACAAAGGCTATAGTAGTATAAAATTTTTTTCTTTTTTGGAAGGGGACAACATTTCTGTGACAAAGTAGAATGTAAAAGCAGTATAATCCAATGTCCTACAAGTACATAAAATGCAATGATGATGAAGATGATGATGTTACAGAATAGTGAAAAGTCCCTATTTCTTATTTAGCCTTCAAAATAACAATAGTCTAAATAAAAGAGCAGGTTCTATGTAATGTGGGCCCTCAGAAGAGGTATGCACCCAGATAAGAACTTTAAAGGACTAAAATTTTCAAAGGGATACATAACAATAAATAATACTACAGCAAGTTATTTTAGGTTAGCATGTGGACGCAATATTCAGAATTCAAATTTTTAGAATGACTGATAAACATAAAAAAAGCACACACCTTGCTTTCAAAGGATTAGCTTTGCAATAAACAAAAAAGTGGGAGGGGGGACTAAAAAGCCAGAAGCAACAAAGGCAAGTATATATTTTTATTTACATATTGATTGATTTGAGAGAGAGGGAGGAAGGGGGAGAGGGAGAGAGGCAGAGAAAGAGAGAGAGAAGAAGAGAGAGAAAAAAAGAGAAAGAGAGAGAAAGAGAAAGAGAAAGAGAAGCAAGTACATATATATATATATTTACAGGCTGACCTGTAGCAGAGGGAAGGGGGTGAAGGTGGAAAGAGATTAACCAAAGAATTTATACGCATATATGCATAACCTATGAACACAGACAATAGTATGGGTAAAAGTCTGGG